TTTGAAAAAAGGTCAATTAGTGATGACGGAGTGAATTGACAAGACATATACCATTCGAAAGGTAACCTCATAAGATTTTAGCACGGCAAGTTTCAGCTTTTTTGGAATCAAACTGCGCCCACACTGGGCGAAACACTCTGATATTATACTAGGCACCGGTTTTAAAAAAGGTCAATTAGTGATGACGGAGTGAATTGACAAGACATATACCATTCGAAAGGCAACCTCATAAGATTTTAGCACGGCCAGTTTCAGCTTTTTTGCAATCAAATTACGCCCACACTGGGCGAAACACTCTGATATTATACTAGGCACCGGTTTTAAAAAAGGTCAATTAGTGATGGCGGAGTGAATTGACAAGACATATACCATTCGAAAGGTAACCTCATAAGATTTTAGCACGGCAAGTTTCAGCTATTTTGCAATCAAATTACGCCCACACTGGGCGAAACACTCTGATATTATATTAGGCACCGGTTTTAAAAAAGGTCAATTAGTGATGGCGGAGTGAATTGACAAGACATACACCATTCAAAAGGTAACCTCATAGGATTTTAGCACGGCCAGTTTCAGCTCTTTTGCAATCAAATTACGCCCACACTGGGCGAAACACTCTGATATTATACTAGGCACCGGTTTTAAAAAAGGTCAATTAGTGATGGCGGAGTGAATTGACAAGACATACACCATTCGAAAGGTAACCTCATAAGATTTTAGCACGGCAAGTTTTCAGCTATTTTGCAATCAAATTACGCCCACACTGGGCGAAACACTCTGATATTATATTAGGCACCGGTTTTAAAAAAAGGTCAATTAGTGATGGCGGAGTGAATTGACAAGACATACACCATTCGAAAGGTAACCTCATAAGATTTTAGCACGGCCAGTTTCAGCTTTTTTTCATTCAAATTACGCCCACACTGGGCGAAACACTCTGATATTATACTAGGCACCGGTTTTAAAAAAAGGTCAATTAGTGATGGCGGAGTGAATTGACAAGACATATACCATTCGAAAGGTAACCTCATGAGATTTTAGCACGGCAAGTTTTAGCTTTTTTGGAATCAAATTACGCCCACACTGGGCGAAACACTCTGATATTATACTAGGCACCGGTTTTAAAAAAAGGTCAATTAGTGATGACGGAGTGAATTGACAAGACATACACCATTCGAAAGGTAACCTCATAAGATTTTAGCACGGCCAGTTTCAGCTTTTTTGCAATCAAATTACGCCCACACTGGGCGAAACACTCTGATATTATACTAGGCACCGGTTTTAAAAAAAGGTCAATTAGTGATGACGGAGTGAATTGACAAGACATACACCATTCGAAAGGTAACCTCATAAGATTTTAGCACGGCAAGTTTCAGCTTTTTTGGAATCAAATTACGCCCACACTGGGCGAAACACTCTGATATTATACTAGGCACCGGTTTTAAAAAAGGTCAATTAGTGATGACGGAGTGAATTGACAAGACATATACCATTCGAAAGGTAACCTCATAAGATTTTAGCACGGCAAGTTTCAGCTATTTTGCAATCAAATTACGCCCACACTGGGCGAAACACTCTGATATTATACTAGGCACCGGTTTTAAAAAAAGGTCAATTAGTGATGGCGGAGTGAATTGACAAGACATATACCATTCGAAAGGTAACCTCATAAGATTTTAGCACGGCAAGTTTCAGCTTTTTTGCAATCAAATTACGCCCACACTGGGCGAAACACTCTGATATTATACTAGGCACCGGTTTTAAAAAAAGGTCAATTAGTGATGACGGAGTGAATTGACAAGACATACACCATTCGAAAGGTAACCTCATAAGATTTTAGCACGGCCAGTTTCAGCTTTTTTGCAATCAAATTACGCCCACACTGGGCGAAACACTCTGATATTATACTAGGCACCGTTTTTAAAAAAAGGTCAATTAGTGATGACGTAGTGAATTGACAAGACATACACCATTCGAAAGGTAACCTCATAAGATTTTAGCACGGCAAGTTTCAGCTTTTTTGGAATCAAACTGCGCCCACACTGGGCGAAACACTCTGATATTATACTAGGCACCGGTTTTAAAAAAAGGTCAATTAGTGATGGCGGAGTGAATTGACAAGACATATACCATTCGAAAGGTAACCTCATAAGATTTTAGCACGGCAAGTTTCAGCTTTTTTGGAATCAAATTACACCCACACCGGGCGAAACACTCTGATATTATACTAGGCACCGGTTTTAAAAAAAGGTCAATTAGTGATGACGGAGTGAATTGACAAGACATATACCATTCGAAAGGTTACCTCATAAGATTTTAGCACGGCAAGTTTCAGCTTTTTTGGAATCAAATTGCGCCCACACTGGGCGAAACACTCTGATATTATACTAGGCACCGGTTTTGAAAAAAGGTGAATTAGTGATGACGGAGTAAATTGACAAGACATATACCATTCGAAAGGTAACCTCATAAGATTTTAGCACGGCAAGTTTCAGCTTTTTTGGAATCAAATTACGCCCACACTGGGCGAAACACTCTGATATTATACTAGGCACCGGTTTTAAAAAAGGTCAATTAGTGATGACGGAGTGAATTGACAAGACATACACCATTCGAAAGGTAACCTCATAAGATTTTAGCACGGCAATTTTCAGCTATTTTGCAATCAAATTACGCCCACACTGGGCGAAACACTCTGATATTATACTAGGCACCGGTTTTAAAAAAAGGTCAATTAGTGATGGCGGAGTGAATTGACAAGACATACACCATTCGAAAGGTAACCTCATAAGATTTTAGCACGGCCAGTTTCAGCTTTTTTGCAATCAAATTACGCCCACACTGGGCGAAACACTCTGATATTATACTAGGCACCGGTTTTAAAAAAAGGTCAATTAGTGATGACGGAGTGAATTGACAAGACATATACCATTCGAAAGGTAACCTCATAAGATTTTAGCACGGCAAGTTTCAGCT